AATGGAACAGACTGTATATTTGGGGTTTTGTTTTGATGTTTTATGTTTTAATTGGTTTTAATTTTCTGATAGCTTAATTGTATTTTTAACTTCTGTGTACTGTAAATTTTTCATTATGTTTGTTTTAACTGTTGTAAGTGACCTTCAGACCAAAACTGGAAAGAGACAAGATATAAATAAACAGAAGGAGAGTAAGGAGGAAAATCATGAAGAATAAGAATACTAAGAATGAAAAATGTAAGTTAATGTTTCATTCAGTTCAAGAGATTGCTCAGGCCGAGCCACAATTGAGAGAATAAAAACAACAGAGGACGAGATAAAAATACAACCAAGTCAGGTATTACATGGACAAGCAACTACATGAAGGGTAGGGAGCAATTCTCACTCCCATGGCTACATAGGCGGCACCACTGTCTAAATTGTGCTTGGTGGTGTTTTGAGATATTTTGATTTACAGCCATTTTTGCAACTTGATGGATTAAAAGGCCTCTGGACTGGGTTGGTAAGCCAAACTGCCACATTTGCTGGTGAATTGGGACCATTTTGGCTGGGTTTGTGGTAAAACCTACATGGGAATTCATGCCGGTGTTTAGTGGCTTTGGGCATCACCAGGGGCCACATGTTTGGAAACTGGGCCACATGCTATCCACTGTCTTCATCTGTGCTGAACCGTTTTGATCAACACTGTACTGAAAGCTTGGAAGTTACCTTTAAAAAAGTAACTTGGGAATGTTGATAAGGCCACCAGGCTGCAATATTTTTAAACAGATTTTAATTGAATTGATTTAGTGTTTTTATCTGTATGTAATTATTGGATTTTGTTATGTATTTTATTGTGTGTATATGGGGGCATTGAATAATTGCTGGCTGTAAGCAATTGCTGGCTGTAAGTAAAAAAAATATTTCAAAAAATATTTGAAATAAATAAATAATATTGGGCAGCCCCAAAAGTCACTTTTCCAAGCTCTGCATTTACCATTCTATCATAGTGTCAGACAAGCAGCTTAGGGTATCATGCATAATAAACTAGCCTTCCTGCTCCCAGATGGATGTGTATAGTGAGCTAGGAAGGTTTAAATAATAGGATGAGGTGAGGAGAATATATTCGTGGTGGTAGGGTGAACAAAACCCAAAACATAGTTGAGACACACAGCAGACTTGGATGTGAAGCAGAAAGTTTAAAGCAAATAACACCTGATGAGAAATCACCAAGTCATTTGTTGCCAGCAACTTGGATCTACTTCAGGTCCTGTCTTCCAAGCACAGCTAGTGCTGCTTAATTTATGAAAACTGAAAAGATCAAGGCCCCAGGTGGTCTGCCTCCAAGCTACAGAGACACTCAGATTACATTACAGGCCAGAATGAAGATGCCCTACATGACAACATGGAAGATAAATAGGCAAAACTGTCGTCATTGCTTGAAATTCAAAAAGGAAAATTAACACTAAAAGAATAGGTAACAGAGCATAACACAAAATATCTTCTAGATTCTATTTGAAGTTAATAGTCAAAGGACATTGTATCTTTTGTTAGGGCCTTTCAATTCAAAGTGCAGGTTCTTACCTACAAAGCCCTGAACGGTTTGGGACCTGCCTACCTGCGTGACCGCATTTCCCTCTACGAACCCACACGATCTCTCCAATCTTATGGAGAGGCCCTCCTCTCGCTCCTGCCTCGATCGCAAACGCGACTGGTGGGGACGAGGGAGAGGGCCTTCTGACACTATGATAGTGGCCCCTTGGCTCTGGAATTCGCTCCCCAGAGATATTAGGCAGGCCCCCACCCTGACAATCTTCAGGAGGAGCCTGAAAATTTGGCTGTTCTGATGTGCCTTCAATTATTCATTACATGATAATCCCTGACCAAAATCTGCATAAAATGCCCACAGAAGCACTTTATTTTCTTGTTGTGCAATTAAATCCTACCTCATCCCCCGAAGCCCCTTCCTGATATTTTACATTGCCCTATCTCCTAGTGTTTAAAATTTTAACCCTTGAATTTGGCCCTGCCCATGGTGATCATTTTTAATGCCTTAATGTTTTGATTTTATATTGTTGTGTTACTTAGATACATTGGTTTTGTATTTTAGGTTATTTTATTTTCTGATTTCCTGTTGTGTTTTGTGTTGTATTGTGTATATTGTATTGATAGGCATGGCATCATGTAAACCGCTCTGAGTCCCCTTGGGGAGATGGTGGCGGGGTATAAATAAAGTTTTATTATTATTTATTCAGTTAAGCACCCAAATGCTGGGGCTTGCTATATATTTAATTGATTAATTATTTAGACAATGCTAAACTATCTTATGCTGTGGTAAATTCTCTGTTCAACACAATCTTTGGAGGCTATCAGTGGTAGAAGAGTGCACCAAGTTCCAGATTTGTCTATTTTTTGGAATAAACACATGGAATCTATGCAACACAATCTACTATGGCATTACATATAACAGGTACCCAACTGGCTATCAATGCAAGTTGCAAAGAATGCAGTGAGGGCTAGGGTTCAAATCTCTGGAGGATTCTCTGTCTGGGTGCAGTGGTGCTCTGGTAATGCTCAGGAACCCTCTCTTCTTTGGGCAATTCTCCAGAGAAAGGACTCAAAGTTTAAATTCCAGAAGTAGGTTATTTTCTGCACTGGATACTTCACCAAAATGTTTAACGCAAAAGTGTTTTATTTATCAAAAACAGAATGATTTTGTGTTTTGAAATCCAGATTCAGCAAAAGCAGGAAAGTGTCTTATTTCTACAGCACCTCTAGTTCCTCCTTGATTTTTTGGCACTGTCCCCTAGCTAACATACACACCCTTAACTATCTTTATTGCTGGCTTTGTTAAAATAGTGTTTCTCTGCAAGAGTCAAAAACTGACCCATCCCAGTTTCTCTCCTGTTGTTTCCACACCCAATTATTCCCTTTGACAGGGCCATTCCATAGATTTCTCTGCTCCTGTTTTTGGCCTTTATCCCCATGTCTTTTCTTTTCTTCAGCATTTTTCTATCCTCTGATCATCAAACCCCTGCTACTTAGAAGCACAGATTTGCTGATTCTTAAGAGTTAGGAGAGGTCATAAGGGACATGTATTCCAACCTCATGCCATGGAGGAATATACAATTACAGCAATTTTGACAGATTACCATCCAGGCTCTGTTTAAATATCTCCAAAGAATGAGACTCCATCACATTTGGAGTCAACTCAGCATATTCCACTGCCAAACAGCTCTTAATACTAGAAAGTTATTTCTAATGTTTAGGTGGAATCTCTTGTCCTGCTTGAATCTGTTGCTCCATGTTCTAGTCTCAATAGTAACACAAAACAAGCTCGCCTCCTCCTCAAAATGACATTGTTTCAAACATGGCTATCATGCTACGTCTCAACCTTCTCAACAGACTAAGCACAATGTATTGTCGAAGGCTTTCATGGCTGGAATCACTGGATTGTTGTAGGTTTTTCGGACTGTATGGCCATGTTCTAAAAGCATTCCCTTCTGACATTTTGCCTGCATCTATGGTACGCATCCTTAGAGGTTGTGAGGTCAACCTCTGAGGATGCCTGCCATAGATACAGGCGAAATGCCAGGAGAGAATGCTTCTAGAACATGGCCATACAGCCCGAAAAACCTACAACCCAGACTAAGCACACTCAGCTCCTTAAGCCACTCAAGGGTTCCAGAACTTTTGATATTTTGGTTGCCTATTTCATTTATTTAACTATTTAATTTAACACCATGTTTATCACTATGAATTTTTCAGCATGTCCACAATGAACGCTTTTTGTTGTAAATAATGGTCAAAAAATAAAAAACAAAAAAAATTAATGTCATGTCAACTGTATGTATTTTTATAGGTAGAATGTGCAATTGATTGTCTCCACGTGCTCCATTAAGCATTGCAGAGTAAAGGTAGACTCCAATCTCCAGGCTAAAAATCTGCCCCCTTTCCTAGATGCTGTATTAAGTCAGAGAAGAAGAAACACTGTATATTTAGGTGAACTTCATCTGTTTGGCAGGTCAAAAGAAATGAAGCTTATCACTGTATTTGCAAGGCAGGGAGCTGCCTGTCCTGGGCGGCTTTGAAAGACCACCAAACAAGGACAGAAAACTATATTGCTGCAACCTAAGATCCAACAGCAGTGGTTCTCAACCTGTGGGTCATTAGGTGTTTCCTAATCCCAGAAGTCCTAGCTCATTTACCAGCTGTTAGGATTTCTGGGAGTTGAAGGCCAAAACATCTGGGGACCCACAGATAGAGAACCACTGTCCTACAGTATTTGGTTCAACATCAGGCTTTGTTTTTTTGACTTCCTACTTGGCAGGATCAGCATTTGTGGGGGAATGGTAGCGAAACTGGTCCCTCTCAGAAGATAAAAAGCTCTTGTTGGCTCCTGATCTTTGGTTAATGGTGAAGATGACCTTCACTGCTTATCTGACCCTGGTTTTGGTAGTTTTCCAGTGCAACCAATGCCATTTCCAAAGCCTCATCGCCCCCTCCCCTTCCAGCATAGTTATACACCAGCAAATGGGACCTTGGCTTCCCATTGACGTCATCCTAATTATGCAGTTAAATAACATTTGATTATATTTTATTACAATTATTTTGTTTTGCTGGGCTGGAAATTAGCATGAAATTCCAGCAGATAAGACAGAGCTTGAACTTTCCTTTGGCTACATTTGTTTAGATATTCTTTTAGAATGTTCCTACAGCAGAAAAAAAAAACCCATGCAAAACTCCTGATGTTTTAATCCTCTTAGCTGTATGAAACTCCACTGAAATTACTGTCATCATTTAACACCCACCTTACTTATTCAGAGCTATAAAATACATATTTTAAAAAAATTCTTAGAACGACAATAGGGTAGAATACTTTTGTACAATACTTCGTTCTTAGGTGAGAAATTCAAGATAAAACTTCTGAGATCTTCCAGCTGACACTAGTTTAAGAACAGTACATGTTTGAGAGGTGAAGAGTGAAATGAAAATATGCGTATCTCCTACTGCATCCTTACCTCCCAAGTTCATTCCAGCTTGGAGACATTTCTGTAATCGGCAAGCTGGACAGTTTTTTCTTCGAATCTTATCAATTATGCAGTCATTCCGTCCTGCACATAAATAGTTGTGCTGCCCTGCAATGACAAAAAATAGCATAACTTATCTTTCAGCTTATACAGTTAAATAAACAGCATTGACAAAAATAAAGAGCATAAATTACCTTTCAATTTATACAGTTAAATAAACACAGCCTACTACAGTAATCCACTGGCCTGAACTAGAGTAGTCCCCTTGAATCAATTGTTGAATTGAGGGAAGGCACAAAGGCGCTATTAAACTGAACACTGAGAACAAAAAGATAAAAAGTTGGAGATTTTTAAGAAGGCAACTGAAGACATGAGAGAGATTTCTAAATTTAGAACAAGATTAAAACTCAGCCTCTCCCTGGGGTTGTCCAATGGGATTGATATCCAATAGAATAGGAATGTGCAGGCTGTGGCTTTTCAGATATTCTTGGAATCTAGTTCTCATAGTTCCTGGCCAATAACTATGCTGTCCAGGGCTGATGGAAGCTAGAGTTCAACAACCTAGAAAGCCAACAACCTTTTGAGCTCCATGCATGAAAATAATATTTCCGTTTAGTTTGGTTTAAAAGTGAAATCAAAGTATGACTTCATTTGTTTTCGTAATTTTCTTTGGAGTACAGTTTCATTATATGGGCAGAGGCCACAAGGGGGTGCTAGACAGAGAAGGATAGTCCGTGGGGGGGGGGGGTGCAGATTGAATAAAGAAAACAATTTTCTTTCATTTTCGCTAGTTATTCCCCCTCCCCATTTCCCATTTCATAAACGAGGTTTTTTCCCCCAATAGTGAGAGGTGAGGGAAATAAATAATGGTTTTTCAACCCCACTCCACCCAAGGTAAAATGGACTATCCTTCTCTGTCTAGCACCTCCTTGTGGCCTCCGCTCGGATAATGAAACAGTCCATTTTTTTAAGAAGTTTACATTCTGAAAAAAATATCAAAATCAAAATTTGCAATATAAGCAAAGTAAATTTAATATGAATAGGGTAATTATCACTTCAGTCTGCTTTCCCAAGAATATTATTGAAATAGAAACCTTTCACAGACCCTGAATGTGATACACTGGATAAAAGTAAACAATTATATATTGCAAGTTTTATCTTGAAGTTCTCATGGAGTTACATATCACCATTCTTAAATTCAGCAAAGCATCTGCTAGTCAAATCCACAGGGATTTGTTAGCTAAATGTTTATCAAGAGTATCTTTCACAACAAGTTTTAAAAGGTTTCTTACATCCACATGCACACACATTTATTTATTTATTTATTTATTTATTTATTTCATTCACTTATACCCCGCCCTTCTCACCCCGAGGGGGACTCAGGGCGGCTTACATGAAGGGCACAATTAGATGCCCAAATCACAACAACAAGTAATCCAAAGCATATAAAATTCAACAGTTAAATTAAAACAACAATACATAATACCTATTAAAATCATAAAACTATCTCATGTCAGAGTCCATATATCAGAGTCCATATATCCATTCCATTCCATTGTCCTTGTCTATCGACAGGTCCTTTAGTTAGTTGTCAGCATGGCCAAAAGCTTGGTCCCACATCCAGGTCTTTAGTTTTTTCCTAAACGCTAGAAGGGAAGTCGTCGATCTGATCTCCCCGGGGAGTGAGTTCCACAGGTGAGGGGCCACCACTGAGAAGGCCCTGCTCCTCGTCCCCGCCAGCCTCACTTGTGACACTGGCGGGGTCGAGAGCAGGGCCTCCCCAGAAGATCTTAAAACAAAACACACACACACACACACACACACACACACACACACACACGGAGTCATGTACATGTGTATCTTTTTTAAAACGCCTCACAGATATATGTACCAACAAGATCTTCATATGTTTCATAGCACAAATTCATTACGTGGCTGGAAAATATTCTCTAAGAATACTTTAATACCATTTTTATAATGAATATTCATTTACTGTCTTTTCAGTGGTGACATAAGGTGGACAAAGGTATCCCTTATAAGAAGTATTGGAAGTTAACAGAGCAAAATGCCATATCCAAGGAATCTCATATTAAAAATAATTATGAATAGCCAATAACATGCCACTTTTGATCATGTGCAAGGTCACGGGAAAAGAAGAGTTGAATCCCCAAAGTACTCTGTCACACTAAGATCTTTTAAATTATTCAGGCTTTCAGCTGCAGAACAATTATTCCAGGGCTCAGTCGTCAAGCCAAATCTAGCTATTCCCAGGAAAACCTTCTGGTGTCTCAGGTGCCAAACTTTTCTTTCCATCTCCTATGTGCTGTTTACTTGGGTGGCTTGAAGAACAAGAGCAGAAGGAATGAGACAAACAGGAGAGAGCTCTTTTTCAGATGCAAGTATTTACCTATTTACAAGGATATTCTGGGGAGGAAGATAATGTTTCCTATTCTCACAAACCATCATTTCTTGTCGGGCTTTCACATAAGAACTCAAACCTGAAGTGGGTCAGTCTCTACTTCATTATCTACAGGGAAATAAGCCACAATAGATAAGGAGACCTGGTTGATATTTGACTGTATTAAACAGAAGGTAGACATGTGCTTCACAATTAAAACAAAACAAATCTAGTAATTGGCACTAAAGGTACCCTTATAACCTATGAGCAACTATATTGCATTAGTGGAAAAAGGAAAGTATAAATATAGGGATTACTGCTGGACTTGGAAATAAATGGTGTCTAACTTAATAACCTCAAGATTTTTCGTCTGTGTTATTTCTAAAGCATCCATTTGATCCCAATGCCATTATGTAAAGTTCTTTTTTTTGCTGTCAGTAGAAAGTTAAATCAGAAACCATAGGACTTGGTTTGTGCTTATTTTCTCACCGTTTGAAGCCTGTAAATTAGGAGATAGCTTTCAAATGACTCTATTTATGTGGACTGTTTATTATAAACATCTCTACGTAATCATGCACTTTGCTTATTACAATTTTATGTCAACCAAAACATGGCTCAGCAAGACATTTTTGTTTAAACTACAGAAGGTAATCACATCTCTGCTTCTTATAGTCCATATGAAATTTCTACTGATTAAAGATTTGGCAAAACTTCCTGAGTTGTGAAAAATAGATGACAAGGGTGTAACAGTCAACACTCGTGGTCAGCAGGACTGGTTGTGCCCTTAGTTGGGACAAGGGAATGGCAGGTATGATACAGGGCAGTCTGACAGTAGTCTATGATAACAGCAACACTGGACCAGAGCAAAGTCCCACGTAGTCAAGCATCTGTCCACACAGATGCCTATGCAAATTTCAGAAGCAGCTTATATTACTCAGTAACTGGTATATGGAAACATACTGGTTTTCATACTGGAAGTAATACATAGCTACCATAATTAATAAGTATCAATAGTCTCATATATCATGCCCCTCATACTCCTGTAAGGACAAAGCCACAATATAGCACGTCTGATGACATGAATATAATATTCATAATTTTCTATCAAGTCTGGGTATATCTTAGGCAACGTCATTTGAGAAATCCCTAATGTAGAAGAGCTATATTTTGTGTGTGAGTGTGTGTGTGTGTGTGTGTGGGGGATTATACTTCTGAAAGCATAATGATGCACTAACCCATCAGTCACATTTTTCCCAGATGGTGATGACAAAAGGTAGGCAATGGCTGGCATCCTGCTAGTGTTCAGGCTAAATCCAACTTACATCCATATATTTATTGCAGAAGCTGGTATTCCCTTTCACTCTCTAAAATAGTGGTTCTCAACCTGTGGGTCCCCAGGTGTTTTGGCCTACAACTCCCAGAAATCCTAGCCAGTTTACCAGCTGTTAGGATTTCTGGGAGATGAGGCCAAAACATCTTGGGACCCACTGATCTAAAACAATCCCCAAAACCCTGTTTAGTGTCCCTCTCCCCTTCTCTCTCATACACACACACACACCTGTTTAGTTCTTGGTAGAGGAATGGGTTAAGGTTAGGGACAAGAAATGTTTTGGATTTTGGAATACCTATATTTGCATATACATGCATAATGAGATACTTTGGAGATGTGACCCAAGTCTAAATGCAAAATTTATTTATGCTTCGTGTTCATTTAAATTTAACATTCACATAATACATATAGCCTGAAGGTAATTTTACGTACAATAGTATTTTAAATAATTCTGTGAGTGAAATAAAGATGTCACTATATCAGCCAGCCATGTGGACAATTTTGGAACTCCAGATAAGGGATGCTCAACCTGTATTGAAAAAGTGTCTGCTTGTGTCCCCACAGCAGTTGGATTCTTTTTTTTTTTTTTTTATGTCAGGAGCGACTTGAGAAACTGCAAGTTGCTTCTGGTGTGAAAGAATTGGCTGTCTGCAAGGAGGTTGCCTTGGGAATGCCCGGATGTCCTGATGTTTTACCATTCTTTGTGGAAGGCTTCTCTCATGTCCCCGCAAGAGGAGCCGGAGCTGACAGAGGGAGCTCATCCACACTCTCCCCGGATTCGAATCTGTGGCCTGTCGGTCTTCAGTCCTGCCGGCACAAGGGTTTAACTCACTGTGTCTGTGTCTGGATATGGGTATGCAACTAGATGCTTCTCATTTTCTTTCTCTATGAGCCACTAAATGGATACATGGGGAACCACCATGGCTAAAGGGTAAACTTGGGAGTTAAGTGGATAGTTGTAAAATATGCTGTGACACACAGGATCTTGGCAAAAGTCTGTCACCCTCTCATATTCACAGATACATTGGTCTTGTGGTCCAACTGCATTTTAGACAGAATTCCCTTGCTGTGTGGCCAGTGACTCCAGGAAATGGGAACCAATGAAGTAATTTCCCAAGTTATGGGAATACTCCTGTATTGATTACTTTAAAATGGGCAGTCAACTTTCAAAGTGTTTTCCCTCTTCATGGTACCAATCCAGTTGCTGTGACACATAATCATAGACATTCATGTATAGCTTTTCCCTAAGAAAAACGTGGTTTTCCCCCTTTGCTAACCAACAGAGGGATGGAACCAAAGACAGATTCTCTCTTTAGATTCATAAGCTTGTTTCATAGTCATAAATAAACATTACGAACAGCCCCATGGCTGCATTCACTT